CCCCAAAACCCCAAAACCCCAAAACCCCAAAACCCCAAGATAGATAACCATCATTGGCATTACACAATTATTTACTCTGTTCAGGTTAGAATTATACTCTGAGAATGTCTTCAAGTAAAGCTTTGTGGTTGGCTCCGAAAATACCATTCTTTTTCGTCTTGATTTCATACAGAAACAGTAAGATCGCACTGAAAACGTTATCTTCACCTGGGAAAGGATTCAGCTCTTTATTTCCTGACATAACTTTGTAGAATGGAGAGAACTTAGGAGGTGATACCTGGACAATTACAAGTGATTCTCCACTTTTAGAATACTGCGGGTAGTAGCTCATGTAACCATATAGGATTTTAATCTTAGCTCTGTAATCACTAGAGTCTCTGTAGATTCTCTCAAAGCATGTTCAGAAGAGCCACATTATGATTTCTGCATCTGTTGGGAAGTCATGGCTCCATTCTTGTCCTTGCCAAGATTCACCAGAGTTATAATGAATCTGGAAGCTAGAGCTTTCAACCATTCTGGCGATTCTATAAGTGACATATGGTCTAGTCTCTTTTGCAAAACCTTCAATTCTGAAATATTTCTCAATATCTCTTCTCTGCTGAAGGAGTTCTTCGAGATCTTCTTTAAGCTTGCCTTCAACCTTGAAGAGAGGTTTATTTTTAACTGCATAATAGTACTTTCCATATAGCTGATCAACAAGATCTTGCTTAAGCTCTAGGTTAGTAAGATCCTCTATATCCAAGAGCTTGGAGTCATCCCTGGCTTTAAACATTTGTTCACTTTTATATGGAGATCTAGAGTGCTCGTTCTTACTGACTACCAGATCAAAGCCAATTCTTTGGAATTGCCTAGAGAGTTCCTTAAAATTTTCTCTATCGAGTATCAGTAGCTTCTTAATAATGCCTGTGTAGATCCATTCCTTAGTGTTTTGGATCCAGTAGCCAATGCTCTTGCCAATGCCGAGCTCTTCCATGGTCTTGTAGTAATTAGTCTTTGACTCTTCACGATCTTCATAATCCCTGAGTTCCTTCTTTCTAAAAGTCTCCCTTGGTCTACCTAATGAACTAACGTAATCATATTTATTAGTTGTCAGCGGAGAGTGTCTCCTGCCCTCAAAGTCATACTTTGATCCGAACTGAGATCCTAAGGTTCTTCTGGGGGTAAACCCTCTGTCTGGAGTGTCTAAAACATTAAACCTCACAAAATTTACTCAAGCCTAAAGAACTTTTCCTGGTGAATGGACTCTGATTATCGAAGATTCCTCTACGAGGGTTTGCCTTCCGTCTTCTAAGAGTTGAAAAGTCATGGCTCTCCCTTGGCGTATAGAAGATGTCCTTGTCTTGAGAGTAATTCTCAGTGTATCTTCCGCGGAGAATTGGACTCTTAGTCTCATTGTCCTTATTTGAAGTCAAAATATTCTCTCTAATGATCTTCTGATGGTAATCAGAGGTCTTCAGATTCCTGTACCTAATAACCTTCGGTTTGCCTGATCCAAGCCTCAAAGAGGCTTGCATTGAGAGAATTATTATCATAAAAATCGCTGCAAAGAGATGGATCATGTAGTTTTTAATAGGTCTGTATCTTTCATCTGTAACCAGGACCAATAATTCTAGCAGTCCTATAGGAACTAACAGTAGGAGGGAAAGCACATTCTCTATTTGAACCCTCTTCTTCAAAATCTTGAAGAGTTCGATATTGTTAAGCTTATCCATTTTCAAGAATAAATATTTTAAAAATTGGATTTCTATTCTTAAACCTCCATCTGGGGTTTTGGGGTTTTGGGGTTTTGGGGTTTTGGGGTTTTGGGGTTTTGGGGTTTTGGGG